AGGAGGAGAATGATGATGATGATGATGATGATGATGATGATGATGATGATGATGAGATGATGATGATGATGATGATGAGGATGATGATGATGGATGATGATGATGAGGAGGAGGAGGAGGAGAAGGAGGAGGAGGAGGAGGAGGAGGAGGGGGAGGGGGAGGAGGGGAGGAGGAGGAGGAGGAGGAGGAGGAGGAGGAGGAGGAGGAGGAGGAGGAGGAGAAAGGTACGCTCGTAGAGCGCGAAACGTAGAAAACGCAGGAGGAGGCGGCGGAGGAGGAGGAGGAGGAGGAGGAGGAGAGGAGGGAGGAAGTATGGAGGAGGAGGAGGAGGAGGAGGGGAGGAGGAGGAGGAGGAGGAGGAAGGAGACGAGGAGGGAGGAGAAGGAGCAGGAGGAGAAGGAGCAGGAGGAGGAGGAGGAGGAGGAGGAGGAGGAGGAGGAGGAGGAGGAGGAGGAGGAGGAGAAGTAGGGAGGAGGAGGAGGAGGAGGCAAAGAGGAGGGGGAGGACGAGGGCGGAGGGATGAGGAGGGAGGAAGGATACACTTTTTCTGCCGCAGCGCCGGCGAAAGCACAGCGCGGTCGGGGCGGCAGACCCGTACGCGAAGAAAGGGGCGGCAGCGCCGATCGAGCAGAGAGGGCGCGCGGGGGGGGGGAGGAGGAGGCGGTCGCAGGGGGGAGAGACCAAGGCGGGGTGCGCGCTCGGAGCAGCAAGAGCTCTGCGGGCAGCACTGGCGGCGGTGGGCTCATGGGGGAAGGGAAGCGTGTGAAGGAAGAGCACCCTGGACCGTGTGGCGGCAGAGGGGGAGAACACACACACACAAGGCTGGACTCGCGTGCGGAACATCTGGAGGGCACTCGCTGGACACGTGTGCGGAAGTGAAGCCTGCCGGCACGGCCGTAGAAGGAGGCCGTGCGCCAGAACGGCATCTGGCCACATGTGCATCCAACTCTCGACCAGGACGGCCGCGTCATGTGTGGGCAGTCTCCTGGTGGAGGGGGCGGTGGGCAAGGAGGAAGACGGAACAAAGGGGGAGGATGAGGTGGGGAGGAACAAGGAGAGGCGGTGAACCACGACTTAGGGGAGGAGGAGGAGGAGGAGGAGGAGGAGGAGGAGGAGGAGGAGGAGGAGGAGGAGAAGGAGGAGGAGGAGGAGGAGGAGGAGGAGGAAACGAGCGTAGGAAAAGGGCAGGCGGAGGCGGAAAGCGGCCTGCGCCTTGCCCAACAGAAGGGCTAAGGATGAGGAGCAGGAGGCGAGGGCGCCAGCTTCTGAAGCAGAGCCGCCCGCATCGCCAGTCGCCAGGAGGAGAAGGGCGGAGGAGAACCAGAGAGGGGGCAGGGACACCACACTCGCAGCTTACTGGCTCCACGTGCAGGCGAGAAAAGATGGGGGACAGGCGAGCCTCCTCGCGCTTAGGAAGGCAACGGCTCGCAGAGGCACGTGCTGCGGTGGCAAGCGGTCTGCCTGCGCACGGACTCGGGGCGCCGCAGCGCACCCCAGCGAAGGCCGGAGTCCCCGGGGCGGCAGGAAGCCAAGCCTGCGGCCGTGGGCGGAGCGAGGCAGCCCGGAGCACCTGGCATGCAGGAGGAGCGAACATGGGGGGGGGGCAAGGGGAGAGGAAGGAGAGAGAGCCACCCTGGCAACCGAGCACGTTGTTTTGTTCTTTTGTTTGTGTTTCTTCTTTGTTTTCCCCTGCAGACGAATCCATCTCTCAAGAATCCGCTGCCCCTCGAGGAGGCTGTTCTGACCCCCACGCACGGTTCACAGAACCAAGCAGCGAGCAAAAACCGGCAACGGCACAGGACACGCAGGGTTGTCCTGCGAACGTGGCCGAAATTGGCAACCGAGAATGATTGGAAACGTGCATGACGAAACGGAGGAGGCCGAGCGCGCCACTTGAGAAGGTCAAGAGGCTGGTGCCTGGCAGGGTGTCGACCTGTGGGGGGAGCTCCCCCTCGTGCTGCTTGAAAGGGCAGGCGAGAGAAGGCGCCCGTCTGACAGGCCCCATCCAGAGGGAGAGACTGCGGGGGCGAGGAGCGAGGGGAAGGAAGGATCGGGATGTAAATGGAGGAGGAGGTGGAGGAGGAGGAGGAGGAGGAGGAGGAGGAGGAGGAGGAGGAGGGGAGGGGGAGGGGGAGGGGGAGGGGGAAGAGGGAGCGACAGATGGAAAGGGAGCAGCTGGGACTGTCGTTGGCCCATCACTGTTTCCCTCGGGGGGCCGTTCGCAAGCTGGGGCCCACGTGGATGGGGTTACGAGCTCCTCCCCCCCCTCGCTGCCCGCCCCTGGGCGAAATAGCAAGGAGGGGTTCGAGGATGACGAGACAGCTCCGCCCCTCGGAAAGGCCGGCGGCCTCTCCAGGTCGTCCAGCACGGCCTGCGAGCAGGGCTCGTCGCGGTCCTGTGGAGGAACGCGTCGCTGGGATCCCTTTGGGACCTAAGCCAGCGGCAGGATGAGGATCAACTCGGATGAGGCTGAATCGAGAATTCTCTGAGCACCGTGGTCTGCAGTCTGTAGCAGTGTGTGTGTGTGTGTTTGTGCGGGTGTGTGCGCACATGTGTGTGGCATAAGCAATGTTTTCGTTTTCGAGTGCCAGAGTCTCCGAGGCGCCTCCAAGACGCTGTCAAGAGGCCCCAAAGAGGCTCTCAACAAGTCTCCAGGGCCTTCGAGGGGCTCGAGGTGACACACGTGACGGCCTCCCGCGCCCCCTTGCAGAGCCACCACCCAGAATGCTGCGCTGGCATGGTGGCGGGACTTGCCGCAGGCAGCTTGACCAAAAGCCGCTTTCACTTTCGAGCTGTCCTAAACGCAAGGTTACACTTCACTACAACGCAGACCGTCTTGGTTTATCGTGACTGTGCCGGCACATCGCTGGCGGAGTGAGAAGTTCGCGTGATGTTAACCTAGCCAGAACATCCTGTCTCACTCTGCGCGCCCACAGCTCGTCTTTGGAACTTCCTTCTCGCGGTCGATCTCGCCCTCCAGTGCGGCCCTCAACGCGGCCTGGCAAGTCACTACGACTGCGACGGAACCCGTCTTACGGCCAGGAACTTTTTTGCTTACTGTGTCGCGGCGGCGGCCCTGGCGACACGCTGTGCCCTGCAGCCGCATGTCGGGAGCGGCCAAGAGGGGGATGTCCAAGAGGGGGGGGTGCAAATCATGAGCGGCGGCATGTGCTCGGCCCAGCGGGGGGGCCAGGGACGTACTGAAATAAGAAGAGGCGCCATGAAATCTGGGGAAATATCGTGGCCCCCGCCATGATATCCACCCCCCCTAGTCATCACCCTCCTCTTTTCCGCCCCCGAGCATGGCGTGCCGCTCCGCTCCGCGGGGCGGGATGCCCCGGGAAGGCTCGTGCCGCGGACGCTGGGGGGCTGGGCTGTGGACGGCGTGCCGCGCTGGAGCGTGGTGGGCCAGGACCGGCGGAGCGAGACGCGATCGGGAAGTCCACGACCGCAGGGTATCGCGAGTGTGGTGTCACGTCGCTGGCGGAGGAAGTAGGGGACCGAACTCCATACACCGACGCCTTTTCCGGCCCTGCACTGACATGCGCACAGGGACGCGGATCTTTGTGTATAATTACGGGATCCTGGTATAGACATTTTTCGCTGCCTCCCATTGGAAAGTGGGGGCGAAGTGTACACCACTTCACCCCGACGTCGTCCCCGACCCTGAAAAAGTCCTGGGATTGAAAGAGAGCCCGCCACTGGCAATGTAGATGTTCCAGTTTCCGAGAAAGTGTGTGTGTGTGTGCGTGGGGCCATTACAGAGCCCAGGCACGCACACACCCACACGCATACGCTTTCTTCTTGCCTGCTTCCCGGCGGGCAGGTCCAACGCAGCGATCGATTGGCGAGGCCGCTGGGTAAATTACCACCGGCGCTCTTCGCCCAGTGCAAAAACAAGTACTGGCCATCGCTCGGACGTCCATTCCCTGTTTTTTTTTTTGTTTCGTGCGTGGTTTTTTGCCAAATGATCAAGGATGCTCCTCGATGGTCCTCGCCGAAGGAAAAATGCACACGTCCGAGCGATGCCAAGCTCAGGCGGCGAGAACGAGGCAACCATACACACACACGCACACTAACTCACTCGCTCACTCACACACACACACACACCTCTCTGCCTTCTGCGTCTCTGATCTTCCGCTTTCGCCGCCCCTCCTGCCGCATCTCCTGGTCCGTCTCTCCTCTGCGTTTGCTCGGCTCAAGCTTTGCACTGACTGAGACCGCAGTGGTGCTGCGCACACGGCTGGCGACTAACAAATGCGTGCGTGGGGGCCACCCTCATCAAGCGGCAAAATATTCAAACTTGTTCTGCTACCTCATCCTCTTCGGCCCTCCTCTGATTATGTTTTTGCGGCCGTTATCATTCTCCTCCTCGTCCTCCTTCTCCTCGGATCCTCGGAGTCTGGGGTAGTGAGTCATCGTGTGTTGGGTCCTCGCTTTGAAGAGGCAACGCCCCGCGTCATTCATTTATTCTTCTCCTCCCTCCCTCCTCCCATCTGTGCCTCTGCCCTCGCATGCCAACCACTTCGGTACACCCTCACGCGTTTCGCGGCCCCATGTGAAGAGCTCCACTGAAAGTCCCAATGACGACGCTCTCTGAAGGCGACCCAAGCCTCTCCCACACCCACCACATCATGTTTTATATGTTCAAAGCTTCTCTCTGGAGCCTATGGCCCAGCGACCGTCGTCAGCTGCATATGCCCCAAGAGAGGCCCCTGGCAACTTGCGAAAGATGCAGCCGCCGAGGGCCGGGGGAAAACATGATCATACAACCAAAAGCGTGTTGAATACACACCCACGTTTTTAATACAAAAACTGCCGCGAACGAAATTGCCTGGGACACTGCTCACATCGCGTCATCACGAACGTGCAATGGCGTAATTTCATAAACGCAGAAACGCGTTCATAAAAGTTTTATGATAAAACACGCAAAAACTGTTTAATACAAAAGCAGACGGTTTGATAAAACGATGTGTGAAACCGGAAACGTCACAATTCTCAAACGTCGCCGTGTGGGCGTGCTGACCACGTCCGCAAGCGTTCCGCAATAACAAATCAGTAACACTCAACCTGGTGGGTGTGGGGGCGAGTTCCATAAAAAAACCTCCACAGAAAAGACCCGAGTGGCGACGTTCCCATGCGTCCGCGCCGCAGTTTGCGGCACGCTCCTCACGCGCTTCGTGGCCCCATGGGGAGCTCCACCAAAGGCCCCAATGGCGACGTTCCCATGCGTCCGCGCTGCACATGTCGGCACACCCCTCACACGCTTCATGGCCCCATGTGGAGCTCCACCAAAGGCCTCAGTGGCGACGTTCCCATGCGGCCCCCCATTCAGGTCGACACACCCCTCACACGTTCCGCTGCACCATAGGGCTCCACCGAAAGCCCCAATGGCGCAGCTGGCGTGTGTCTCCCCCGCCCATCTCGGCACACCCCTCACACGCTTCGTGGCCTCATCACGGGGCCCCACGGAAGGTACGAGTGGAGCAGCTCGCGTGCGTTTCCCCCGCACATTTCGGCACATTTCCCACACGTTTCGCGCCCCCAGGCATAACTCCACCGAATGTCTCTGCGGCCGTCCTCGCGCGTGCCTCCCCCGCTTGTTTCGGCACGCCCCGTGCACGCTTCGTGGCTCCAGATGGAGCTCCACCGAAGGCTCCGGCGGAGGTCATCGCATGCGTCTCTCCCACAAAACGAATGCGGTACCCGCCCCATGCGGGCACACCCCTCACGCGGTCCGCACCTCTCGCGCTGTCCGCGGCCCCATCAAGAGTTCCCCCTCGTTCGTCCCGCCTGCCCTGCACTACTCACAACTGCACACGGTGAGGTCCTTCGCTAATGAACTCTGCTACCTCATCCTCCTCGGCCCTCCTCTGATCCTGTTCAGATTGCGGCCATCATCCTTCTCCTTCTCCTCCTTATCGGATAGTCGGATCCTCCTTATCCTCCTCCCCGTCCTCATCTCCCCATTCTCCTCCTCCTTGTCCAGAAGGGTCCAACAGGACTCCGGCAAGGCTCCAACAGGGCCCAGAAAATCTTAGACACATCTCAGACTTGCCTACTTCACTGTCTTGGATTTGTCTCAGATCTTCGGGGCCCTCTCGGGCCTCTCTTGAAATCCTGTGCGGCCCTTCTTGATGTTTTTTCGTCCCTCTTGGACCCTTTCAGAGAAGGCGGTCGCATGCCCAGGATCCTTGAAGATCTCCGCGGAATCCCTAGGAATCTCTGAAGATTCCGGAGGGCTCCTTAGGATTCTGAACCAATCTTTTCCAGGAGACCCAACAAATCCTAAGGACGGGTGCCGGTCCGTGCGGATACTTCAGGATTCCTTCGTTCCCTCAGGACCCCTGCAGGACTCCTGGTGATTCCTGAGGCCGCGGTCTGGTTGCTGGTCTGTCAGGATTCTATCCGATTTGCAATATCTTTTGATATTCTTCAAGGATCTTCAAGGATCCTCGCGATTCTGACGGTTCCTGAAATGAGCCTTGAGGAATCGTGGGAGACCCCTGCGATTCCCAACAATTTCTACATCAAATCCCTCTAGAGTCCCGACGTCCCGATCTGGGTGCTGGTCCGTCCCCACGAACTCTTAAGAATTCCTGCGGCCTTGGTCTGGGTGCTGGTCAATGAGCCTCCGATCTGGAAGCCTAGCAATCTTATCATACTATCATAAATGCTACTGCTAGTACTACTACTACGACCACCAGCAGTAGTAGTAGTAGTAGTAGTAGTAGTAGTAGTAGTAGTAGTAGTAGTAGTAGTAGTAGTAGTAGTAGTAGTAGTAGTAGTAGTAGTAGTAGTAGTAGTAGTAGTAGTAGTAGTAGTAGTAGTAGTAGTAGTAGTAGTAGTAGTAGTCGTAGTAGTTAGTAGTAGTAGTAGTAGTAGTAGTAGTAGTAGTAGTAGTAGTAGTAGTAAAAGTAGTAGTAGTAGTCGTCGTAGTAGTCGTAGTAGTAGTAGTAGTAGTAGTAGTAGTAGTAGTAGTAGTAGTAGTCGTAGTAGTAGTAGTATAGTAGCAGTGTAGTAGTAGTGATAACTGGTAGTACTGGTACTCGTACTACTGGAAATATAAGCGTAGTAGCAATAATAATTGCAGTGGTAGTAGTAGTAGTAGTAGTAGTAGTAGTAGTAGTAGTAGTAGTAGTAGTAGTAGTCGTAGTCGTAGTAGTAGTAGTAGTAGTAGTAGTAGTAGTAGTAGTAGTAGTAGTAGTAGTAGTAGTAGTAGTAGTAGTAGTAGTAGTAGTAGTAAATAGCAGTAGTAGTCATAGTAGTAGTCGTAGTAGTCGTAGTCGTAGTGGTGGTAGTAATAGAAGAAGTCGTCGTAGTAGTAGTAGTAGTAGTAGTAGTCGTCGTAGTAGTCGTAGTAGTAGTAGTAGTAGTAGTAGTAGTAGTAGTAGTAGTAGTGGTGGCAGTAGTAGTAGAAGAAGCAGTAACAGTAGTACTAATAGTAGTAATCGTAGTAGTAGCAGTAGCAGTAGCAGTAGTAGTAGTAGTAGTAGTAGT